CTCCACCTTGGGAAGAAAAACCCGCAGCATCCTTATAGGCTCGGCAGTGCTATGTTGGCTAGGACTACGCAAGAAAGAGACTTGGGGGTCATCGTTGACCACAAGATGAATACGAGCCTGCAGTGCGATGCTGCGGCTAGTAAAGCGACCAAAACGCTGACTTGCATCCATAGATGCTTCTCAAGCAAATCCCGGTATGTCATTCTCCCCTTGTACTCGGCCTTAGTGAGGCCGCAGCTGGAGTACTGCGTCCAGTTTTGGGCTCCACAATTCAAAAAGGATGTGGAGAAGCTTGAGAGAGTCCAGAGAAGAGCCACGCGCATGATCAGAGGTCAGGGAAGCAGACCCTACGATGACAAGCTGAGAACCCTGGGGCTCTTTAGCCTGGAAAAGCGCAGGCTCAGGGGTGATCTGATGGCCACCTATAAGTTTATCAGGGGTGACCACCAGCATCTGGGGGAACGTTTGTTCACCAGAGCGCCCCAAGGGATGACGACTAGGTCGAATGGTCACAAACTACTACAAGACCGTTTCAGGCTGGACATAAGGAAGAATTTCTTTACTGTCCGAGCCCCCAAGGTCTGGAACAGCCTGCCACCGGAGGTGGTTCAAGCGCCTACATTGAACACCTTCAAGAGCAAACTGGATGCTCATCTTGCTGGGATCCTATGAACCCAACTGACTTCCTGCCCTTTGGGCAGGGGGCTGGACTCGATGATCTTCCAAGGTCCCTTCTAGCCCTAATGTCTATGAAATTAGCAGTAGCAAACAAGAGGACGGATAGGTTTGAGGCTGCTTACAGTTTTGCACCAATTACACCAGTTGCAAAATACAGATTTTAAGTTGGCCTGTTGATTTGGCCTTGAAAAGAAAGGCTCTGCACTTTGCTTGGATTAGACCTTTGAATATGGCACTTGGAGTGAAGATGTATGTTGGCTTAACCAAGAATTCCTCTACTTACTCCTTGAGCTGCACCAATTTGTTGCCATGCTCAACTGATAGAGCTTGCTTTATTTCGGTGATGTGGTATGATTACAGTTTGTGATCACATAGCAGGCAAAGTGCTTAAACCTTTGCATTTGAAAGGGTACAGTGTGAGATCAAACTGCCAACAGGGCAGTGGTTCATCCCCTTTCCCACACTTGGATTCCTTTTTTAGTACTGTAAAAAATAGTGGCTGTTCCTTTCTCCCCCTATCTGTGATATTTTTCCTCTGAACTTTTGAGGATCAGTGTGCATGCTTCAGTTAGACATTGCCATTCATGGTGTTAAGTTCATTTCCACTACTCTTAAGGGTTAGAAATACTTGCTTTCAATCTAAGGTAGGATATAGTCAGAATATTTAAAACAGTTTGAATTGGAAATCACTTTTGCTTTAGGTTTTTTTTTTCAAATGGAATCTTATAACCTAAAACTTCAGGCTGCTTGCGAACTTTAAAAGAAAAGAAGAGGGGGGAACACGCTTTACCAGAAGAAGCAGTGTTGCTCCAACCCAGCTCCACAGCATCTGTGCTTCAGCGGGGCTTTTCTGCACTTTTTATCTAATAACTGCTTTCAGTCGGCTATTGGATAAAAGCGTCAAAAAAGCCCCACTAAATTGCCTGGCAGAGTTTTAAAGTAAAACACTTTTTGGGGGGGCTTTTTTGTTAATGTCTGCAAGCAGCCTTAGTACATTTGGACTTGTACATGAAAAGCAAAGGTCAGACTCAGATCAGAACATGGCTAATCTCACTTCATTTTTTCAAAAATATGTGACTCTTAATGTTTTTCCTTAAGCACTTGGGAGGATGCCCTAGAGCTGGCAACCCCCAGCATGCATGCCAGTGTGGCACAGAAAGGCATTTTGCTTGGCATGTGCACCTTAGGGCAAACGGTGGGAAAGAGACTGGGGCTGCATTGCCACAACAAGGTTCGGACCCCGTACGGCTCTCCTGCAGCACACCAACATCTTACAAGTCAAGGTTACAGGTGTTTTTGGCACTCTGCCCAAACACATTGCCCACCCCTATTCTAGAGCCTCTGTCTGTATTTGTAAAGGCCATGGGAAAGGGATCTTGAAAAGTGGATGTGGTAGCTGAGAGCCAAGTTTGCTGGAAGAGATAGTACAGCTATTTAAATTGTAATTGTCTAGTAATAGGAATTAAGATTGTAGAATAGGCTGTTTTGGGCGCCAGAAAATTAAATTATTTCATATTTCCTTGGTAGAAAAGGATGTTTACAGCAGGATAGAGACAGAGATAATTGGAGCATGGCCATTACATTCCTGGAAAAAAGCATTACCTTTTCAAGCTACATACAGTACCAGGGTTCTCCTTAAAGTGGATAAAATAACAAAAGCTCATCTGACTTGGAATTGTCTCGGTCACCCAGAAATGAGTAAGCATTCTGCAAGGACTGAGCTGGCTTCAGCACGGCAACAGAAAGGCAATATTTCATATGGAACTGGTCACATTCTTTACCACAATTGAGGCTGTTAAACATGTAGCATACTAGAATCCTTGGCAGTGCTGCCTTCCAGCAGTGGCAGCCTGCAAGGGAATGGTGGAAATGAGCTATGAACAAAGGACTTCTCTAATCAGTGGGGATAGCGTATTTTCTTTGTGTCCTCCACTCTTGTTCATAAGAGCCAATTAGCCTGCTGTCCACTAGGAAATGAGGAAATTGTAAAGATTGTGCATTAGACAGTTTTCTGAGCCTTGAAGGCTAAAACTAAAATCTGGCTGACAAGAGCCAGGAGATCCTGGCCAAAACTGGGGTTGACAGGCTGGCTGGAAGCTGCAGATAACTCGGTATAGAGGACGCCAACTTCTAAATATGTAGCATTCCAAAAATAGCTCTGCAAAGAGAACCGTAGGGGGGAAAAATCAATTAACCACAGCACAGCTAGGAATTATAATAACCTGCTTGGATAGGAGAGGAAGAGGAAAACATCATCCAACTCTTCCCATTGAAATACTGCTAAAGCAGAAGTTCTTGCTGTAGAAATGTTTTTTCCATCTGATCACAGACTGTACTAACCATTCTCATGCTCTGCCTTTGACCATTTAGTTGATAGTAAGTTCTGTTGGCAATGCAGAAAGCTGAAAAACTGTTCAAATGTCATGAGTCTTGACTCTGCCTTGCACTCCTCTTTAAACCAAGCAGCTCTCTGACTAACAGAAATGAGTTTCCAGAGTTTTTTGCACTGTCCACAGCGTTAAGTCCTCTCCCTCTGAAAGTCGTTCTTGCAGTTTCAAATACAGTATTTGTGTTGCAGCAGCACTTGGGAGGCCCCCTTCTGACGGGCATGGTACTATTGACTGTACACATGGTGAAAGATTGGGAGGGTCTTGCCCAAAATGCTTATAACCAAAATAAACTCCATTCTCTTTATCATGGTAGAGAGACTTTCTCAAGGAAACCTTATTTTGCCCCTTTTTCCTTGCATGAGACTCCATTTGGTGATGGTAATAAATCTAAGCTTGGTCAAGAACGGCAAGTCCTTTTTTTTTTTTTTTTCCTTCCCTTTTTATGCTTATAGAAACAATGGGCAGGGGCTGGGGCATGATTAACAAAGAGGCAAGCATCTTACATCTAGTTGGGACTTCTTAAATGTCCCAACTTGAGAAGCTGCAAGAGCAAGCTCCTTAGCAGTGAGGAGTATGAAAACAAGTGTATGTTTCTGCAGAGGGAAGAAGACTGTCAGCAATGGGGAGGGACCTTCAGTGGCATTCTCCTTTGATCAGAATTGAGCTGCCCTTTCTGGGATGGCCCATGAAGCAGTTGGCATGGGATGTCACTTGAAGCTTGCATTCCTCCTCCTCCTCCCTCTCCTCTTCCTTCACCAGCAATGGTGGGGTGGGGAGTTAGTTAACTTCCAGAAGTGCTGTCTGACATGTCAAAGTTGCTTGGTCTGAGAGTTCTGAAATGTATTTGCAGCTGTTTAACTTGAAGAAGGGGGAGATGCCAAGAGAGACCAGGATCTGCATGTATTTACTTTTTGCAAGGGGCTTTTCGTAGACATGGGTTGTTGTCCCTGTCCTGCCTCCTTGGTCCTGTAGAGAATGTTAGTGAGAGTAACTTTCTCTTCACTTGCCCTTGACTCTGACTTGTCTGAAGTCCCTTTATGTCTATTGGCTATAAATTCACAGGATTCTTCCCTAGTTTTACCCAAGGCATTTAAGAATGCTAAATACCACGGGTGGTGTTCTCCCAAGGGAGAGGAGTCTGTAAACTAAGTAGAAAATCTTGTGTCCACTGTCCTTAAGCCCATCCAAATAGATCCCTTTGATCACTGGGAGCAAGAAGGGGAGGAAATTTCAACTTTCATGGCATCACAAACACTGTCCTCATAATGGCCTGCTGGAGCTAGAACACTGGATCTACTGTTCAGGCTTATTGATCTAGGCAGGCAAAATTGTTTTTCAGTGGAGACTTCCTCCTCTCCTGCATGTTCCTGTTTTGTACATAAATAGTGCCTGGTTTGGCAAAACTCCACTGCCCTCTTGTTTTTGCCTCCCAGTAATGATTAGGATCAGTAGGATAGTAATTGATTTATTATTCCAATCACAATACAGCACAGTAGGTTTAAACAGCAGCCAGGAAACCTGATCTATGCTTGTAAACACTCTTCCAGCACAGCAGTAAAACACTAACTACTTCCCCTTGTAGTGCTGCTGTAATATAGGGTGTGTCATAGGACCTCATTGTTGTGATAGCAGATGACTTCATGTAAATTGAAGTCATCCCCTTTTAAAGTTAACACAAGTGCTGGATCTCATCTGCCAACAGGAAAATGAAAAGTCTGCATGGGAGGAAATCAGCTATTTGGTAAGGGAGACGGTAACTAATGCTAAGTGGAGTAGGGAAGTCGGGCATGTCACTTCTGCTTGTCCCAGACAGACCAGGATTGTACTAGAAACTCTTATTAGTTTAGTGGTATTCTGAGGTGCCGCTCTTTTTTAAAGTAGGGTTGGGGGGGTGTTGTAGGCAGGATGGTCCAGTAAATGTATGAGAAGGATTTTGTGGTGATTTATATTTTACTGGACAAACTGTATAGCTGGAAGAGATCTCAGACAAGCTTTTGGGTACAGAGTGCCCTTCCTCAGGTTGATTTGTGCCCATAATTTCTCTCTTCTTTCCCAATATGGTCCAATAAAAGCTATCACTTCTTTGACTCTTTTTTTAAGTTCTTGTTGTTTATAAAAAAAGATCCCAATTACAATGCAACTTATAAGAGTATGATTGCCAGCATAGCTATTGCTTAAGAAATGCACTTTGAGTGTGCATCTACATTATGGACTTCATGCCTTTACAGGTTGCTGGTTACATCATAGATGTAGTTATACCAGCAAAGCAGTGCTTTTAACAGTGAAGCTTGTCTTGCTCGGAGAGGAATGTATGCTTATATCAGTACAAGCACATTGCTGCTTTAGCCGCATCTATGCTAGGAGCGTTTTGCCAGCATCAGTAATATCGGCTGTCGCGCAACCATCGTGAGACTCGGGATTTCTAAGTCAAAATAACTCTGACTCATGATCTCCTGATCAAACCCTCAAATCTCCAGATTTTCCCAGCTGACAAGTCTGTGGAAGGGAAGGGCTGAGGGAGAGATCGAGGCCCCCATAGTGAGGGAAGGAGTGAGTAGTGCAGGGGTGAATGGGACCCCAGGGCTGGGGTAGGTTGTCCAGAGGTGTGGCTCCCTGCAGCAGTGTGCATCCCCAGGGAAGGTATGGGGGGCATGTGCCCCCTGTGGGCCGGAGACAGGCTGCCTGCTGTAGGCTTGGGGCTCTGCGTCCTGCTGCCTTTGCCCCATGAGCTCAGCTGTGCAACACCATTTCTGCCCACTGGGCAGGCTGGCCGCACAGTGCATCCCCTGCCCACCTGGCAGTAGGAGGCACATTGGCATCCTGCGGCTGAGTTCCTGGGGCAAAGTCAGCAGGGCACAGAACCTGAGCCAGTGGCAGGCAGCCCACCTCCTCCCCATGGGGAGCACATGCCCCCCATGCCTGGGGGTATGCACTGCTGTGGGGACCTGCCCCACTCCCTCCCACACCTAAGGGGGCCTCAATCTTCCCCTGCCCCTTCCCCTCCATTTACCAGCTGGGTGGTGTGTGTGTCCCTCACTCCCAAGCCATAGGCCCCCTCTCCTCCCAACCCTGCTGCTGCTGCCTTTGACTCCTGACCCACGGAACCCCACATCCTGCCAGGGTGTGCAGGGACCCTTTCTTCCCAGGCTCCAACCCCCAAACCCCACACACAGAGCCCCCCACCCCCCAAAATGGTATCTCATTATTTACATAACAATCTCTTGGGGGGGTGTTTGTTTGTTTTGGGTTTTTTTTAAGAGCTTTTCTCATGATTTTTGGCATGGTGGGGTCGACAGTACTGAAGTATTGTGAGCTAGTATTCCTCCAGGTGCAGGGCTTTATCTACGCCTGCACCAGGGCTGTGCAGTTTCCAGCTGCTACTTCTCCCTGCCCTCCTGGCTCCGGTCTGACATGCTGGGGCCAAAGGAGCTGCAAACTGCATCCGTGCTGTTGCTGCTTCTCCAAAAACTTCCTCCCCAGCTGCAGTGCGAGTGCAGCTTCCAGCCTGTGGGGAGCTGTGCTGAGGCCCAGCAGCTTCCAGTTGTGCCCATAACACGGGCGGACAATTATTTCGGGCAGAGGGCTGCGTACCAAGTTTTAGCAAGCCATCGAGGGCCATGTTACAGGCAGCCAGGGGCAGATATATATTAATTTTCTAAATTTTTAGGGGCCCCGTGGGCCGCATAGAATGGCCTGGCAGGCCACATCCGGCCTGTGAGCCATATTTTTTGCCCACCCCTGCCATAACAGCTGGGGGGAGAGGAGGGGGCAGGGAGAAGGGGCAGCTGCACAGGCATAATTTGCAAGTATGTCATCCAAGCAAAACTCTCCACACACTGGAAGCTGCACCTATACTGGTGCCGGAGAGTATAGAACTGAGAGAAGCAGCAGTGAGGCAGGTACAGCTCCCATCTGCCTGGCCCCAACATGGCATGGGGAAGACTCCCCACCACTGAAGCCACCTGGCTCACGTTGGATTGAAACCCGGTTATTCTAGCCCAGTCCTTGAAAAAAAGCTCCTAGCCCCTGCTCCACAGAGTAGACACAGGATAGGATTTTTGCTGGTATAGCAAAATTGGTGACACCCTTCTACAATAGACCTGGCCAGATGCCAGGAGGGTCTAAAATGGTAAAGGAGGTGGCTGAAGAAAATAACTCGTAACATGCCCTGCTTCCAGCAAAGACCGTGTCTGTACTTCTCAGCTCTGGAGACAGCCCTCACTGTCAAGCTGCCAGGGTGTGTGCACCCCAGCCCTTGTCGGCTCTGGCCTGCAGCAGTGTCTTCTCATTTTCTGTTCAGCAAAGCAAAGGGTTCTGCTGTCACAGAGGAAGCTGTGGGTATGGATGTTCTCAATGCCTGGCTGGCAGAACTGGAGTACTGGCAAGATTGCTGTATGGGCTGGGTGAGAGGTGTCCAAGATCTCGTAAAGAAGCAAAACACTTGGGTTTTCCATCAGCAAGCAACTGAACTCTGCCCTGACAGGAAGGCCCATTGGCCCATTTTAAGGAGCCACTGCTCTGCGGAAAAATAAGTAATTTTAACTGGTACTTGATTTATGCTGGTTACTGCCCTGGATATTGTTGCTTGGGCTGACCTAACACAGTGGCTGAAAGATGCAGTTACCTTTTGACTTGCAAAAGTAGCAAGCTAGATTTGCTGCATAGGTGCCTAGAACACTCTTGTAAGGGTAGTTTAGGTTGCCATGCATTCAGTCCCTGGTTGGTTGTGGAATTTTGCTGCTGAATTTCTTGATGAACACTCATGTCTGATGCTGTTATGAAGACAGCTATCACCTGGGCCTAGTCCTGCTCAAGAACTGGAAGGCCTTGGCTAACATTTTATCAGCTTATTGAAGGCAGGGTGCCTTTTTGATGCATGTTAACTTGTGGGAGAGTCCTAAAAGTGCTCTGAAACTGAGGCTGCTTGTACTTTCCGGTTCCAGGCCTTGTCTGTGCTACCAGCTTTGGCAGAACTTCAGCTGTGCCAGCACCATTTTGAGTGTACCCACACCTAAAGCTTCTCTGCAGCAGCAGGACCCTTCTTCTTGCTAACAGTTATTCTACCATCACCAAGCAAACTGGGCTGTGGTATTCTAAGGGTCGAATGTGTGTCCTGTTCGCTACTGATCTAAACAATGCTGCTTACAGAAAGCTGCATAACTTTGGTTCTCTGGCTGTTTGAATGTCTGTACCTAGCCTGGGTGCCCAAATTTTCATCTCACAGATGTATTAAGCATGCCAGGCAAGATGGTCCAGCTGCTTAGACACCTAGTGAGATTTTTTTTTTTCAAAGGTGCTAGCTCAAGAGGTGCATAAATATCTCTCTTAAAAATCCACTTCTGTTTCTTCACAACACTTCATGACTGTAACCTGGTGTTAGTTGTATGATGGAATCCTTATGGATTCTTTCCCTTTTTGTAGGAACAAACACCAGCCTGGGCCTGAGAGACAAATTTGTCAACTGACGGGAACAAAGAACTGAGACATACTTGTGACTCTACCAAGACACTAAAACATAGTTTAAACCAAGTTCCCCGGTGTGTGGCCTGTCTCTGCCAAATACTCTTATAGTTCTTGGGAGGATAGTCTCTATTCTTTCTCTACCTTCCAACCTCTCGCATACCATAATGTTTCTCTAGACTTTCGTTGCAGGATAATATTGAGTTTTCCCTCCCTTCACATGCTTTGGTGTGGGTCTCTTGTTGCAAGCTGCTGGTTATAGATTGGTGTTTCTGCATTTCTTGCTCGAATTTCTACTTGGAGGGTTTGCTTGAATATTGTAACTGACCTGCTTTTTCTTTCTTTCTTACTGTATCTCTGTCACTTTCTCTCCAATTCCTCTTTCCTCCTCCTTTCCACCTCCACTGTTGCAGGTTCATCATGCCTAGTGGCATATAAAAAGACTCCTCCCCCAGTTCCGCCTCGGACCACCTCAAAGCCGTTTATCGCTGTCACGGTGCAGAGCAGCACTGAATCAGCCCAGGACACCTATCTGGATAGCCAGGACCACAAGAGTGAGGTCAACAGCCAGTCAGGACTGAGCAATTCTTCAGACAGCTTAGACAGCACCAGAACACCCAGCGTGACCAGAGGCAGTGTTGTAACTCCAGCCACAGACACTCCAGAGTTACCCCAGAAAAATGCAACTTTGAAAAGTGACAAAGGGACTCTGACTAGTGAAGAGCCTAAGGTGGAGAATATCCCCAAAAGAAAGCTGTCATCTATAGGAATACAAGTATGAAATAATAGTTCATCCTCCTTTGTGTAATAGAATGTCCTTAACCTGTCCATTGAGCATGTGCATTGTATGTAACTACATATGCAGCTGAAGCCACTTAGTACCTAAAGAAATCATTTTACAGAACAAAATTCTGTTGCCCAGAGATGATATACACCAGCAGTTACTGTAACAGACCAGAAAGAAAAATGTTTTCAGTGCAAAATTAAAACAAATGTCATAAAACTGTTGCTGCCCTATTAGCTGGTTATATCTCTTTAAAAAGGCTACATGCCATACTCTGTACTTTAGGGTCAGCTTGATCTCTAAATTTAGTGCATTTTGAGGCACAACCTTGTTTAGGTTCAAATTCTTCTAATTATTAAAGCCTATAGCACTAATTGGCATGCAGTGGTTACAGAATTACAAGTTTGGGGCAGTCTTTGTAAGAGTGCCTTCCATTCATCTCTGTCTTCTCCATGTGAGAACAAAGTGATTCCTCTGTTGCTGGAAGCAACGTAAATCTACATGCAAATGAATGAAAATTAGGTGCTAGCTTTACAGTCAAATAAAAACTGATCCGGCAGCAGGATATATCCACGCTTTGTTCAGCGAAGGCAAACATATGGGGAAGCTTTTTCTAAATTACCAGTCTGCTGTTTTCCCTCTTATTTGTAGACAAATGTCTGAATGCAGGTACCTAAATATTATATTCACCTATCAGACAACAAACACCTATGGATATATTTCATGTGATGGCATGCCAAAGTATGACTAAAGTGCCAGTTTGCAAGTCTGAATGCAAAATCTGTGGGCTCAGCAGGTGTGAGTGTGCATTCTGAAAAGACTGTTTAAAATTGGTCTTCTGCAGCATCAAACTTCCCATCAAGTTCAACACACATAAAAATGCCCCTTCACCCAAAGTTATGTGCTGGAAGGTCAGTTTAAACTTTTCTTTACTGAAGTCAGGGTATCTATGCCCAAAGCCAGGGAGCTGGTCTGTTGCTCTAACCCAGGGGTGGATAGTTATTTTGGGCAGAGGGCTGCTTACTGAGTTTCGGCAAGCCATTGAGGGCCGCATGACGGGCAGCCCAGGGTAGATTAATATTAAATTTATAAATTTTTTTTTTTTTTTTAGGGACTCTGCAGGCCAGATAGAATGGCTCTAGGGCTGCCCACCCCTGCTCTAACCTCTTGTCTGCAGTTAGTCATTCCAAATGTGTGCTGGAGGTTTTGCTGGACACACTGCCCTTAAATCATAGCTGGTTTTTTACACCTTTTTTTTGATGCTGCAGTCTCAGTTTTAGTGGCACTGTAAGACATAGCTTTTTTCCCCCCTGTAAATAGTAGGAGAAGGAGCAAGCTAAGATTAGTATGCGTTTGCTTAAAAGGAGCTCAGTTTTTAAAGAGTCAGACAACTTTAGCGTACTCCTCCCTGGCCTTGTTCTATAGTAGAGGCTCTTGTGGGGTGATCCAGGCTTCCCCACCTCTAGTATTGGGATTTTTGCTGTTGTATTAGGGTACTGCTATCAACCCCTGCCTAGAATATTTTAGCTGGGAGAGAGCTTGAAAACCACCATATCTTTCCAGGGTTACCCCTTGAAAATTTAAGCTAATGTTCTCTCCTAAGGCTTAAAATAGCTATCTTTTGCATGTCCTGTTATACACACAGCTGCTTTTTCAGACATGTAGCCATTGCCGGTCTTACCACGACCATTATAGTGGTACAAATGGGTAGAGCTGGACCCACCAGGACAACATCCAGCCTCTACAACAGAGAGGGTAACACTAGCAACGCCCACTTTGGATGGCAGTATATAGTGCTGTCCATCTGAAATGAGCCTACTAGTTAGTTTGTTCTGTCTGCATGCTGTGTGTGTGTGTGTGTGTGTGTGTGTGCAACTCTCTCCTGTTCAACAGTGTGAATTCTAGCAGCAAGTTTGTGTCTGTTTTTTTTTTTTGTTTGTGTTTTTGTTTAATAAGGTTGACTGCCTTCAGCCAGTGGCAAAAGAGGAGCCGCCTCCGGCAGTCACCAAATTCCAGTCCATCGGGGTACAGGTAGAGGACGAGTGGCGGTAAGTGAAAGGCGCAGGCTTTTTTTATTTTACCCCCTTTAAACTGCATTTTTCTCACTGAACTCGGATCCATTTCCTCTTCTGCTTTCTGTTTGAATCCAACTGTACGGAATGATGGGGGGCCGTGGCACATGCCCTTATCAAAAAGCACTTAGTCTGTAAAGAGCTAAATCAACAGGGGCTTGCAATACAAACCTACCCGAAGATGTAATTATAGATGTGCGTCAGTCATTTCGTCTGAATGGCCTATTGCAGTAAGCAGGCAACCTTATAATTGTGTCTGTCTGCATGTGTGTTTGTGTGTAATGGGGTGGGCTGGGGAGCAAGGCTCAGCTGCAGGCTCTGTAAACAAATGCATTTCATTGTGTGTCTGTGCCGGCGGGTGAATCCAGCCGGTTGGAGTTCTGCCTTTAATGCTCCTGCTCTCTTGTTCTAGAAACAGCCACTCTCGCAGCATGTCCTCCAAACAGGACACCGATTCTGACACGCAGGAACCAAATAACTCTAGCTGTAAATCCTCTGAGAGAAGCCTTGCTGATTGCCCCCCATGCCACAACTCTGTCAGTGTTGATGCCAATAACAGGCAACCAGCCAAGCTCTCCCAGATTCAGAAAAACCTCTCCTATGGAGATAGTGACCCAGCCCTGGAGCCTTCCTCTCTCCCTCCACCTGATCCTTGGCTTGAGACTTCTTCCAGCTCCCCATCAGAACCCACTCCGCCAGGAGCCTGCAGGCGGGACGGGTACTGGTTTCTGAAACTGCTGCAAGCTGAAACAGAAAGATTAGAAGGATGGTGTCGGCAGATGAACCAAGAGACCAAAGAGAACAATCTCTCTGAAGAAGGTGGGTGTTGTCAGCTGCTTGGCTGTGGGGAGCAGCATGAGTTATGACTGGAATGTACCAACCCATTAGTAATGGCATGATAGGGATGAAATGGAAAAAAAGGCAAAATGAAGCGGGCCATCGCACGTAACTTTCTGACAGTGAGATCTGTTAGTCCTTTGAATGATCCTGAAAAAGGGGGAAGTGGGGTGGAGAACCTAATAAATGTGCAGCAGGGAATAAGTCTGTAATGACTAGGCTGGCAAAGCAGGGGACTAGATGGCAAAGCTTACCTCGTTCATAGATTAAATTGATTTGGAGGAGATAAAGCCCAATTCAGCAGCCGAATCTGAATCACATAGGGAGACCCATTAAAAGGTCCGAATCAGATCTGAAGCCTCCAAATCAATTTGGATTGGCTGCGGAGAGGCAGGCACAGCCAAGCAGCTGCAGACTCTCCTGTGGCTCTTCTGGCTGTGCCTACCTCTCCCTGGATGGGGAGAGCTGCAAGAGAAGTCTCCATGGCTCCTCTGCTCAGCACCAAGCCTAGTCCTGGCACTTTAGGGGAAAAAAAAAACCCTGCACTCACTGGCTCTAGCAGCAGCGATCAGGGCCTCTGAGGGCTCTTGGCAGAGACCCCCCACACAGGAGGGACAGCGGGGATCATCCCCCTTATTTTCCCCCCCCCTCCCCCGGCATCCACGCGGCAGCTGCCCCATTGCACAGGTGCAGCATGGTTGGCAGGGCACTGCGCGCTGTCTGGGAGTTGGGGCAGTTTCAGCAGTCGCCCGGCACCACTCAGCCTGAGTGGCCCAAGCTCCCAGACAACACGTGGCACCTTGCTGATCCACACTGCACACGCACCATGGGGCAGCTGTCACATGGGTGCCGGGGGGAGGGGCTGATCCCTGCTGCATGGGGGGCTCTGCCACAAGCCCCAAGAGGCCCTGATCCCCGCTACTGCAGCCCGTGAGGGGTTTTTTTGCTTTATTAAAATGATGGGAGGCTGGGGCCGGGCAGGAAATGGGGCCAGGCAGGGCAGCCATGGGGGCTTCTCCCATGGCTCTCCCCACCAGGGAGAGGCAGGCATGGCCAGAGGAGCCATGGGAGAACCTGTAGACACCCAGCTGTGCCTGCCTCTCCCTGGCCAATCTGAATCTCTGAATGAGTCTCAAACCTCTGATTCTGATTCGACCAAATTGAATGGGGACAGTGATTCGAATCGGTGTCCTTCAAATCAGCCAAATCCAAGTCGAATAATTCCCTGTTCGCACAGGCCTCCTGGATAGGTAGTGCCAGAGCTGTATCCACTTGGCCTCCCTGAAAGTAAATGGTTCGTGAGAGAGCAATCAAGTGGGCTGACCTTGCACAAACAAGCTAGCAGATTTAAGAGAGTCCAGCTTGCACCTAGCAAACCAAACAAATTCTCTGTTAGAGCAGTTCTCTGTCAACTGATCTTATTTACATGTGTTCATCACAGTTTACAGTGCATTTGAGAGTCTCTTCAGCTGAGCCTTCAGAAGGAAGAAGCCTACACAGTGTTTGTTGGTGGGAAGAAAGGGCAGCCCATCCTTGCTTGAAGGCTTCTCTCAGCACTTTCTGAGGGGGAGTCTTAAATTCCTGGGAGCCTCCCGTTTTGTTTTGTTTTGTTTAATATCTGTTTGGAAGACTTTAAGGAAAAGAGGGGTGATTGGTCTTCTACCTGTCTCACGATCCCTTTCTTTTTGTCATTGGAAGAGTAGGTCTAAACACAAGTGCCTGGAGATTGGGTCAGTGGATAGGCATGCAGGTCCTTTATCTGTAGCAAATGCCTTGGAAATATTGACATCTAACCTTGCTGTAGGCTAATGATTTTAGTGCCCTTCTCTGTTCTAGAAAGCATGGAGATGGACATCAAATGGACTTTGTAAATATTGACAGTTTGTAAGCAAAGTAATAGTCACAGCCAAAGTGCGGCTTTTCCTCTGGGCACTCTTGTTCTGTGGAGATTTTGGAATTCATGTTCTATAATGACGTGTATAGTGGAAGAGGAGGTGACGGATATCAGACTAGCTTCTGTGACTCCTCCTCGGCACTTCATTCACCCAAGCGCTCTCAAGCATGCATGTTTGCTGCAATCAGCTGTCTCTGCTTATTTAATCTTTTTTATTTCCTTAGTCTTAGGAAAAGTCCTCAGTGCAGTGGGCAGCGCACAGTTGTTAATGTCACAGAAGTTCCAGCAGTTCCGGGGTCTCTGTGAGCAAAATTTGGTGAGTATGACTCTAAGCCCACAAAACTACATACTGCCATAGAAGGAGCTGACCAGTGTGTGAATATCTCCACAGAAGTATAAAAGTGGTTTAATAGCAGCTTTGACTAGTACAGTCTGACCATTTGTGGTGTTGGAGGTGGGGTGTATGGTTTTTAAACAAACATTGAATACTGTTCAATCTGTGTAGTAGTGGGAGGCTGACATTCTTACCATGCACCCCTCTTTATACCTTAAGCAGCTGAAGTTGAAGAAATGGGGCATATCCCAAATACTTTCAGCTTGTGCACAGTGTTAAGGCCATGTTCTACTCTTGGGTGCATGCTATGACTTCTGTTTGGCATTAACAGGGGTGCAGTAATAGTTGGCTGGATATATTTATACCCAGAGGTAAGAAGCCAGTGGGCATGCAAACCAAGCGGAGCTGCTTGAACCAGCTTGTCCCTTTACTTCTAGGGGGCCTTTCAAGGTGAATTGCAGAGATTAAGACAGAAATGAAACGTTTTGAAAAGCCTTCCAAACCGTTCTGAATATGCTTGTTTTGTATGAATGACAAGCCCATCCCCACAGGGCTATTGTCAGTCACTTCTTAATCAAAATTCTTCAAACATTATGAATGTGGTTATCTTTAGGACTAAACAGGGCAGACTTAAGCATTCTCAGAATCTATTCTTTTTAGCTTATCTGCACATTGCTTTATGTTTTTAAGACCTACTGTTTGGACGCCCCAAAAAGACTCAGTCTGAAAGCAAATTATTTTCCTCTGAGAGCTTTAGATGCATCTAAGATTGTCAGACTCTGCAGCCTCAATCAGTGTTTTAGGAAAATGTTATATTGTTTTGGGGGAGGGAAGGGAAATGTAGTATTGAGTACCTTCTTTTTGCTTTTGCCTGATGACATTTGCACTGGCAGAGAAACTGGAAGCCAGATTTTTTTTTTTTTTTTAACAAGATTGCAATATTTGAGGCACACCTGAAATACTGACCTCTTAGTTTTGTCCCAGCTGCACACTCAAACCTGGTCTATTATTTTGTAGAAATCCAAGGTCAGTTGTAGAGTTCAGTCCTCAAAAATATTGAGGAACTTAATCTAACTTTACTTCCAAGCAAACTGTTGGCAACACTTCTGTCAGCTGTTTAGAATCTTTTTTCCTGCGAGCATTGAGTTACAGATAAACTTCCAAAGTTCCTTTTTCAGGGAAATAAAAGCTAAAAAAATGTACTTTTGACCAAGTTTTAGCCTAAACAGTTCGTTTGTTTAAGTTGGCATGCATCAGATGGCATGTGGGTTTTCCTGCTGCATTCTGTTTGCTTTGATCATGTTGTGTCCAGTCTTTAATGTGTAGTATTCCCCTAACAGACAGCTACTTCACTAAGAAACCACAAATTTTTCTGGCTCCTGAGCTGAAAATTGGGACCTGTAGCATGATACTGCTACAGGATTAACCCAAAAGTAAACAGCCTTTGGGACCAGAGAACTATTTCTTCCTGCTGCCAACATGTATTTGGATATTTGATTTGGTCTCTTCTACAGTTAATGCTGACACAGTGTCTCAGACTGGTTGAGCTAGCTAGAACATAAGCCTTAGGGATAAAGTGATGTGTTGTGTGGTGAGGTTGATGAATTTAGTCCTGGCTGGGGAGTACTCAGAAGCTGCTTTGACACAGATCAAGGCTAGTAGATGGCAACATGAGGTTACTATTGCCCAGGGTAACTGTAAACTAACGCAGGAACTGTACTCTGGTTTTAGGTATGCTGGTTTTTTCTTTTTTCTTACCAGTACACTCTCCTTTACAGAACCCCAACGCCAATCCCAGACCCACTGCCCAGGACCTAGCTGGATTTTGGGACCTCTTGCAGTTGTCCATTGAAGACATCAGCATGAAATTTGATGAGCTCTACCATCTAAAAGCTAACAGCTGGCAACTGGAAGAGACACCAGAGAAGAAGGTGAGCATGGGGCATTTCAGAGCAGCCTTTAAAACTCTTTCCTTCCAGCCTTCTGAGTGGGCAGTTGATTCTTAACTTGGTCTCATAGACTAGATCTTTTTTTAATTCTTGTGGCCTTCTGCTTGCAGCATACTAGACATCTTATTGATCCAATTTTTAGCAGTAAGATTCTTGGACTTAAAGGGTAATAAAGATGGTACTCGTTCTATAATCTTCAGGGACATGTATCAAACCTTGGGTAATAGTTCAGGGGTGTGCATTTCCAGAGTTTTGAAGAACTCTGAAACCTCCTGGGATAAACTGTTTCAAGGTAAATAAAGAAACAGTGATTATTGTGCACTTGCATTGAGAGAAGTGATAGACAGTCCTTTTTGTTAAATGGCTGTTGAATTAAATGGGCCTTTGTGTCTACTGAGTAGGATGTAATAAGTACCTACTAGAACTGTTTTCAAGTGAAATGTACACTGTTTCTGTGCCTGCTTCCTAGATCAGTTCTGAGATGGGGGCTGGGAAGTGTATGAACAGAAACTTGCTGCAAATCAAAACCTTATATTGAGCACTACAATCCTAACACTAGGAAATCCGGGCCCATCCTTTTTTGAACATTTTGGCAGTGCATCCAACACTTCACTGTCAGTCACTTCCACATCTGAGGTTAAGGCTTTTTAGCTAGTACTAAAACAGTTTCCAGGGCTGTGAAATAGTGATGAACAGGAATAGCAATCAGACAGCAAAATTGCAGAAGAAAGGAGAGAGGGTCTTTGAATGCCCATGCAGAAATGAGCAAAAAGCAAGTAGATTATCATGAACCATTAAGTCAATTGACTCCCTTAGCACTGCCTGAATAGAAATGCTGCTGCCTCTCCCAGGCAGTTGATTCTAAAGTTTGAGTGGAGCAGGGATCAAAGGGAGTTGCAACTATACCACTGCACCCCCGGATCTGCCCTTGCCTGTCTGCATAGCTTGAGTTCCTCAAAATACTGAAAAATCTAATTCTAACTTCACTTGGCCAAGCAAACTGTTTGGTCCAGATCTTTGAATCTCTATGACATGTCCTTCACCCATCATTGAGCCCTAGGAGCAAACCTAAGTCTCCTTTTCAGAGCAGGATTCTATGCCACTTAAAACTGAGTACATCGGCTGTGAAAACAGCCTGTAACAAGTGTCCTGTATTGCAATTGTTCTTTTCTTCATTAATTTAATGTTCTGTTGCTTAAAGTCCTGTCTGTTAGGCCACCAGCTTCTCCTCTAGTTCATCTGATCTCACAAGAGAGTGAACTTGTGTATGTGCATTTTTATTTTATGTTTTTGGTTTCCCTTACTGTCTCTCTAAAGGAAGAGAAGAAACCACCCCCTCCTGTGCCAAAGAAGCCAGCCAAGCCCAAAACTGCACTGAACCGGGACAAAGCTTCTGACTCTGTGGATAAACAGCGCCAGGAGGCTCGCAAGCGTCTCATGGCAGCAAAGCGAGCTGCCTCTGTCCGGCAGAACTCCGCCACAGAGAGTGCGGACAGCATCGAGATCTACGTCCCAGAGGCACAGACCCGCCTTTGAGCCAAGGGGGAGAGGAAAAAAAACACGTGGTCTTTATAAGTCATTAAAAAGGGGGGGGAAAGGTTCTCTCTAAACTTAGTATGATTTATTCAGTCTAGAGACAATGAGCCCACCTTAAAGGGCTCTACTTCAGCTTTTTTTTTCCTGTCAGCTTTAAGTAATGAAGAGTTTAAAAAAAAAAAAAGAAAAAAAAAAAAAAAAAAAAAAATGCCCCCCCCCCCTTGTTTTCTCTCAGTGGCTGTGGTGTTTGCTGAACAAACTGAACAGACTCCAGAAAACCCCAGCCCCCAGACTTGGAACTTCAGTCTTTTTACTTGTTCTATCTAATGAAAATTATTAGCTTGTTTACAAGAAGAGGACAAAAAAAATGAAGCCTTGAGCACTTGCCATGCTGCGTTCTTTCTCCTCCTCCACAATTCTCTGTTCTTCCTTCTCATCCCTACATTTGTTTCCCCATTCCCTTCTCCCTTTGCATGGCTTCATTTACTGTGTTAGAAATAACCTCTCTTCCACAGAGCTCCCGAAGAGAACACCTGTTCAGTGTGTACTATTGTTGCACTCTGCTAGTGAGCAGCCTTTCTTTATTTTTTCCTTCGGTGGGAGGGCAGGGTGGGCGGGAGGGGGACAGGGTGGTGGGGTTCACATATCTATATTTTAATGATACAAAAGGGTGGGAAATATCTGTGGAATGTAATGCAGAGTTGTTTGTGCAGCCTGGAAGCAAATGTGTGCAATAGGCGGTGATGGGAAGAAGGGGAGCACTTGGTTGACTGAAAGGAAGGTGCAGGCACAGCACAGGAGCTGGAAGAACAATGGAGTGAAGAAGAGCTTGACCCCCATGTGCACACTTTATTTTCTCCCCTTCTGCAAATTTCATTTTCCTTAATCACTTGTTGAGAAGGAAGCTGCTACGCTGCGGGACCTATTTTGAAGGGGAGGGAAATAATATAATTCTGGGTGGAGAATGGTGGGTTTTGTACAAAAAGAGGAAGATGAGGGTGGCTCATGGCAGGTTGACAGTCTGCCTACCTGCCTGTATGTATGTGTATATATGCACATATAGACTTACTAGGATCTGTATATTTAATGCATACACACGTATACATACCCATACACACACATGCAGACGGTGCATTAAAAGCACCTCGGTGAGAGTGGGCATATGTATAGCATATATTTTTACATGTACTATATCTAGATGTGTGTAAAAGTGTGTGTAAAAATATATACCCTGTGTGTAATCGAATGATTATTTTTACCTTGTACCCCTGCTCATTTGGTGGGGGAGGGGGTCACTAAATACCTCTTTAGCCCCTTCCCCAGCTCTCCCCAGTCCCTTTTTCATCCTGGCTTCTTGAAGTTGGGACTGAATGCCAGCATCATGTTCCTTCCCGCCCTCTCCAGAAGGAACATTTCCCCCCCATTTTGTGCAGTCTCACTGCTTTGAATGAGTGGGGAGATAATGTGTCGGCTTCGTATGGGGGAAATCCCAAAGGAGTTGAAACCAGGGTGTTGGTGATTTTAAAAAGGCAAAACAATAAAATAAAATCCTGAATCCTGTTTAAGTGAATACTGTATACTGTGTCTATGCATAGGTAGTATTACAGATTTCTCTTCATGGCCACCTCCAAGATGCATCTCCTAGCCTGGAATTAGAATCTCTGCGTGCTTGTTCAGAAGCAGCAGGGTTCTAGTTCAGCACTGATCTTCAATGCTGTTGTTAAGAAGTGTCAGCTGGGTGGGTTGTACTGACTGCCTTTTTAAAAAAAAAAAAAAAAAAAAAAGCTAACATTTTCAAAACTTTTTTTGTGTTGTTTTTATTAAAATTGGGAACGCCCATATGTGAATTCATCTTACTCATGCCTCCAATGGTAGCCAAATTGCTGCAGTTTCATAGTGTTGTAGACTGTAGCCTTTTGAATGACCTTTTTAGATTTTCTTTTTTTGGTGAGGATCATTCAGCCTGTCTCAGTTTCTCCCTGCACTGAGAATATGAAATATACTCCCTGGGTCCTAGCCAGACCTACTGAAATAAGACATTCATGCCTGGCTGCCACTTTGAGGTTGCCATGTTTGGGATGACCCTCAACAAAGCATCTTAAGCAACGATGGACAACTAGAAACAAGTAGTTTGCCCCTCTGCCTGAATCATTCTGCCCGAGTGCCTCTGTGCTTAGATGAAAGAACATCGGTTTAAAAATGGAAGGACAGCTGGCTGGCTTTACAATTAAAAGCTTAACACCAGAAATACACCCTCCCCACCCCTCATTTTGTAGCTCTCAGATCTTTTTCTCTTTACTTTGGTTTTGTATATATGTGTGCTTTTTCTTTAAGAAAATATCTTTGTGGGTTTTTTCTTTAATGAACTTTCTCTGACCTCCGAAATGAACTGAAAGCTGTTTTCAACATGGACATCACCTGTATGTAATGTCTGTGAACTGATGCATTAGACTGGCCGTGGACATTCAGCCTGTGTGATTATGGACTGATACTTCAGTGTTCACTCTAAGTTGAATGAAATGGGTTTATTCTTAGGACTAAATTAAACCCTCCCATAGCTTCAGTTTACCTCCTAACCCCACAAGAGCCAATCAACATCTGGGGAGATCTAATTTGCATGTGCAAATTGGATTTTTTTTTTTTTTCAGTTTTCCCTAATGGGGTGACAAGGTAGCAACAGATCTACCTCGTGATTCAGAGTGAAACTCAGCCATTGACAGAGAAATAGGCTTTTGACAGCAAATGGGGATGTTACCATCATCTCTTCCTATAGAGGGTCATATCTGTATCCAGGACTAAAATGAACATTTCTAGACATCACAAAAATGTGATGAGTCTTTGAGGAAGGGCATATAGGGTCCAGCCAGCTCCAAAGGCTCAAATGTGTTGGTGTGTCCAAGGGAATGGATTCCATCAAGCCTAATAAATAAATCATAGTGCCTCCCTCTGGCTTGTGCTGACCCTTGACAATTTAGGGAGGTGGGGGAAGGACATTGCTTGATCTTGATGCAAGTGAGTGACAGCTGATCTCTATCCCATATGTTGAAGGACTGACCAATCTGGACTCATTCCAGCCCATTCCGTACAGAAACGCTTTGGTTTTGGGTGTTTTTCAAATTTGATCGGTCTCTTGGGGTATTCTGTATTTTTGTTTTTTAACTTTGATCAGCCCCAACATAGAAAGCTGTGGTGAGGAAAGGTGGGGAACAATCTCTGAGCTGAGATCAGCCTACTCATCAATGCAGCAGTAGTGTTAGCAGTCTTGTGGGGAAGTAGTTGGGGGTTTTGGGGTGGGGGAGGTTTGGGAAGGGGTGTTCTTGTTTTTCTTCTTCCCCAAGTAAACTTTCACTGCTCTCCTGGTTTTCAGTGGTCTGAAGAGACTCTCTATAAGGAGATCATTTCAGTTGAAGTGATTGGCGTCACAGTAAATATATAGTAGTTATGATGAAAATCCCAAGCCTGAAGCCTACTTCTTGAAACTGTGCTTAATAGATGTTTCTATAGCTCTAATAAGTATGTGGATGTGGTTTTTAAACTGTACATACAGTGCTACAATTAACATTACTTCATTTTTAAATCCTGAGTTGTACAAAATTTCCTGCAGTGACTTAGCCTATCTTTTATTTAGCTACATGGCTGAAGATCTGTCTAGCCCCATCTTTGTTAATTTTTCTCTACACTTTTAAATGTGTGACTAATTCCACATGAAGCCTTGATAACTGAAGCCTTGTATCTAGACTGATGCCCATTTTTTTTGTAATGTGAACCTTGCTGGCATTGTAGACTGTAGTAAAAAAGATGGCACCTTCATTGGTGCCCTTCTGCTTTTGTCTCCTGCTGTTTGTAACCTTCCTCCGGCGAGCCCCACTCACAAGAAGAACTTACTGGGGCAGGGACTTGTATTATAACCGTCAGGAGGATTAAAATGGTTGTGAAGATTTGAACCAAATCAAACTCTATAATGTGGCCTTGGGGTACAGTTATGTCTATTAGTCACACTTAAGCATTAAGCAAAGAGCAGGGGTAGAGGGGGGTTGTGTGGTAGGTGCTGTATAATAACTAAAGACAGTCCCTGCCCTAGAGAGCTTGTACTCACTGTGTCTCGAGCGGACTTGTGACTGACAGACTAATGGGGGGTGAAGACAAGGTGATGGCAGACATGCTGTGTACATAAGCAGTAGGTTCTGATTGCCATCTGCTTCCTAAGGGTCAAGTGTGCTAGCTTTGCAGGTGGCCAGAGGAAAGTTTTGACAAGGAGGTGTCAGTGGTTCTGCCTTAAGTTCACCAGGCCAGAAAATCCAATTGGAATAGGTGGGATGTCTCCAGAAGGGTGCAGACAGAAGTGATCATTTTCTCCCCATCTGCCCACACAAAGCCATCTATAGCCGTGACCAAAAACTAGTGCATGGCTTCAGACAGCTTAAAAATGGCCAACCCACTGAAAATCTGAACACGTATTGCATGAGGGGTCACATGAAGACATTTCAAAACAGAATCTTCTGTAATAGCTGTCTGTGCTGACTGCCAGCCTCAAGCTCTTTTCAGACTGGGAGGGGAGGAAGGGAGCAGAGGGAGCTTGGTTTGGGGGCTTTATCAGCCCCTACTGGAGGGTGGGGTGGGTGAATTGGAGCACCACCCCCCCAGCACTGGCTGGGGAACCCCTAGAACAGCATTTCTCAACCTGTGGGTCATGACCCAAAAGTAGGTCACAAGAAGGTATGAAAGGGCCGCAACCAAACTTAAAATAAATCAGCAAACTTTAGAAATGGATTCTCCTTTAAAGGAGAAAAATGTGGGAAACTGTGGCTTTTCCCTTGCAGGCTAGCAGAGTTCCTGCAAGGGGCTGCTTGGGAGCCCCCCCATGCACCCCACACACCCTCCCTCTGCCCTAGATACTGGGGGCTGGGGCCTGGGGGTAGCAGGTCAGGGGTGAGGGGCACTAGGTCCAGACTGGCCATTAATGTTTATAAATGGGTCCCGGTCCAAAAAAGGTTGAGAGCCGCTGCCCTAGAATGAGATGCCTCTGCTCCCTTCCCATGCCCTGCCCTTCTGAAAACTTTGCAGCCTCCAGGGAGGAGGGGCTGTTGCTAGAGGAAGCCAGCTACAGCCAGCAGCAAGATTCCCCTTCCCCTTGGAGCCAACAGTAAACTTCTGTTTGTTCCAGGGGATAGTGCAAAGCCTTCT